TCCCCCGGAGGTTTCTGGTGATTCAGTTGCCGCAGAATCTTCTTCCGGGGATGGAGCCAATTCTTAGACTTATCTTTTTCTTTCTTTCTTTTTTTTTTAAATCGGATTCTCAGCGATGTATTTTCTCTTTGTTTTTATTAAATTCTCTATTGATAATCATGGATTTATAATATCTCTATCCTTCTGAATTTTCGAGAATTTATTCATTTTCAGTTGATAATATTTGTTTTACTTTATCTTTATAAATATCGAATTCATTTCTTCTATCTTCGTATTCTCGGAAGTCAATTTCCTTCTATCGTTGATGATGGCATCGAGGAAAACTAATTCCCGTGAGTCCAAGAGAATTCGAAATCGGAACAATGGAGCGGGGCGGATTCGTTCTGGCAATGTGAATGAAGCACTCACCGAGGTTCTTCGCGAGGAGCCTTGACTTCCTCGTGTTACTGCTCGATCTGAAACCAAGGATTCAGATGAACCAAAGACCGCAACTCTTTTGAGTTCTGGTAGTCCGAATAGCTCGGAGGGACGCGATCGTCCTCTAAAGAAGGAAAATATTTCGGGGAATGATGCTCGATCTGGCCCCGCGAATGAAGGTGCGGTCGCGAAGCCGTTCCACTGGCAGTTTTCCCACGCCAAGGATTTTCCGATCACAGAAAATCCCGACAGTGTCACTCACTTGGTTAGGCATTTCAAACCAGCGGGTGTCCCCTCCCTTTGTTGTGGAACATGACTGAGCGCGACGCTTAAAAATGGCGGTCACACATGCTAAGGTCGGTTGATCTGGTCTTTCGATCTTCGATATTTACTTTATTGTAATGCATATTCCTGATGCATTTTTAGGCTATGGAAGCTAATAACGAGTTCGCGGCGACTTTGGAAAAGCGTCTGCGGGATATCCCCTGAGCCGACGAGCTTTACAAGGTCAACAAGGTCGTTTAAGAGTTGAAGCTTAGCTTAAAGACGGCGCAGGACCGGGAGAGTACCACTGTCGGTCAACTGACAGCAGCTGAAAGATTGGGGAACAAGGCTGCTTCTCTTGAGGCTCGCCTTCGGATCGTTGGGAATGAGAGGAAATCGGCTCTAGATCAGGTTACCGCGCTGGAAATGCAGATTGAATCTCTGACCACGAGTCACGCGGATGAAATTCGTCATGCGACTTATTACGCTAAGAAAACTTTGGCTGACGGCTATTTGGACGTTTTGATGTCTTTGAAGGAGAAGTGGGAGAGGAAGAAGGCTGCAATGGATTGTGTGATTCGATTGAAAGTGGTCGTGGCTAACATCGACCTTATTAAGGAAATAATGAACAACAATCTGCTTGCTTCTGATGAGTTCGCGCCTTCGAGGTATGGAGGTTGCATTGGGAGCCGAACTTGATGTGGCTGCGGGGTCGGATTTTTTGGTTGGGAAGCTGGACCTTCCACTGGTTTCTGAGGATTTACCTGAGGATTTCTTCTTTAAGGTTCCTCCTGGTGGAAATGAGTCTGCAGGCGATGAGGGGCATAACAGGGAATGTTATGAAGACGGCGAGTTTGACGCCGAAGATTAATAAAATATTTTGTTTTTTTTTTGCTTTTATCTCTTTCTGGTGACCTGAAAAAAAGATGAATAATAGCGGTTTGTTTGACTTCATTTTGCTGTGAGTGCGCGACCTTTTTATTATTTAGTTGTCATATGTCGACTTCGATAAATATCGCGTTGATAGGTTGTGTTTGAGTAATGATTTTACTAATGTGATGTGTCGCGTTTTTAGCGGGATCCTAACTGTTTCCATAGACTTGATCAGGGTCTCTTCATGTAGTTAAATCGAATTGTAAAAATGAGAAAATATTTTTCTTTATAATCTAGATATGGTTCTTCGTATACAACTTTGCATTCTATTTCAGAAAAAGATGTGTCTGTGTGGATAATTGTTTCTTTCTCTGGATTTGATCTTTATGCGAGCAATTTGTTTGAGGTGGGAGACTGAACTCAGATCTTGAGCTGCCTATATACCCTCGTCAAGGGATCAAGTCTAAACATATTTCGATTGTTTACACAATAGATTGGGTCCTGTTTTCGATTTATTCGTGCACGTGAGTGCGATTATTGTTCTTGTTAGGGCTTCCTGGTTGGTCTTATGGGTTCGGCTCGATGACTTTGAAGCTCGACAAATATCATGTTCTAGAGTTCTTTTGACTCCCTTTTATGGTTTCGATCCCTTTTGGCTAGGGAACTTCAGACATTGATGGTAAGTTGAGGATACTGCCTTCATGCTGTACAGCCATGGTCTCCCGAGGATGGCATTAAATGGAGCAGTTTGATCTATGACGATAAATTCGATGATATTTCTTACATCCTCGGCGGTCACGGCGAGCTCGATGGATCCGAGAGAAAAGGTAGTGTCCCCTGCGAGCTCTATGGGTCCTTTCTTGTTTGAGAAGTATTTTGGTGAATCTTATTCTTTTGAATGCGTCGTAGATGAGTATGTCTGCGGAGCTTCCGGTATCTATCATGATTCTGGATAATTTGCATCCTCCGACGTCGAGTCGTATAACGAGTGCGTCATCGTGTGGTCTATCGAGATCGGCGATTTCATTTTTTCCGAAGGTGATTTCGTGATCGGGGCCTGACAAAGGTTCTCGTATGCCAATGCTGCTTTCCGCTCTTGGTTGGTGCGCTTTGATGGAGTTGACTGAGTTGCAAAATTTCGATCCTCCGTAAATGAAATCGATTATTTTTCCTTTTTTATGGTGGTGTGTTGGGAAGTACCATTTTTTTATCAGTGTTGGCTGGTGGTTTCCTTGCCCCCCGGACAATTTGGGTTTGAGTAAACGCGGGCTGTGCTTTTTCTTATGTATCGGTTTCTCCAGTAGTTGTCGGACTTTGTCAAATTTGCTGCTCTCTTTGGGCTAGTTGTGGAATCTGGTTGTTTGTCTTAGAGGAGGAGAACACGTCCTATCGAACTCCTCCGGGCCTTGTATCGTCATCGTGATATCGATGCTTATTTGCGCTGCGATTTGATTTGGCGCATTTTTATGTTTGGACCCCCATGAGATCATGTCGACTCTTTTCTTTGGGGCTGGAGGCGGCGATTCTGGTATTTCTGGCTCGACTTCTCTTCCTCTTTTGTCTTTATTTTTGACTTTTGGGGCCATCGGAGTTTCTTCCTCCTCCGTGTTCTCGCCATTCTCTTTATTTTATTCCTTATTGCGGAGTGCAGCGTGACATTCTCCGGTCAAATGCCCATTTCGCTTGTGGAAGACGCAATACTTTCTTGGGTCATACGTCGATTGTTTGTTTTGCGATGACGAATCTATGGCGTAAGAATGCTGTCCTTTGGTAGTTTGTTCTTTCAGAGTACTTTTGGCTTTTTGATTATTCCTTTGTTGGCGTGGTATTGTTCCTTCAGGGCGGTTATTTCTTCTTCGAGGGTTGCGAAGTAGGATATGCGATATAGCGCATCGTGAGTGAGGTGGGAGCTCGGACCGTTATTTCTTCCCTAAACTTGGAGGAAAACCAGACTCCACTTTTCAGAGCTGCCAACGCTACTACCTCGTTTAGACTAGATATCTTGGATTTTACTATTTTGAACCTTTTTATGTAGGCTCTCAATGGTTTGAAGGGTGCTTGCTTGATTTTGGGTCGCGTTGATTGCTTCGCTGATGATTGTTTGATCGACGGAAGCCGGATCGGTTCCTAGAGGGTTTCCGATGGGAACAACATCGGTCGATCTGGATTGGAGATTTTCGAGGTTGGTTGCGTTGGGGTCCATAATCGTGTGTAGAAATCCTAGATCGGGTTCTTAGCAAGGATGTTTTTTGTTTATCTCCCCCACAGTCGGCGCCAAAACTTAGATCCTAAAATCCACACTAAGTATTTTGTAGTGATCGAGAATTTAATCAGGGGAAGACAAATGATGTGGGCAACGATGCTCTTAAACACAACGATACAATCGGAATTCGATTGACAAAAATGGACTTTTATTGAATATGGAATTCGTTTACAAGGTGTGAACAAGATCGAAAACAACAATGAGAAGTAGAGGTAACAAGCAAAGTAGAAATCTATGGAGTGAGGTCGATGTGGTTAGTGAATATCTCTAAGGCTTTCTGTGTGTTTGCACTCCATTCTAGCTCCTTTTTTATAGCCTCTCCTCTTGAAACTGCTTTCGCTATCTCTGGGATATCATTTCGACCTCATAGATTCCGGTTATATCGTGCTCGTAAGGATCTTAGATGGGCTTGGGCATTCTTAGCTAGGTGCCGAAACTGGATCCAACAATCATCATCCGTACCGTATCTCTCACATTACCTTGCTCACTTTGTTATATGCTACGGTCTTTATGACAATTTCTACCGATGTGGAGGTCGCATTCACTGTCATTTTCATCATGTCTTTGTCTTTGTCCCTGCTCTTCTCCATTTCAATGTCGATCAGTGATTCATGTCTATCTCTTTTTGACTTCCCATTTTTTTTATCTTTCTCAATGGATATTGAAAATTCCATTTCGAATTCATGAGATTCAAGCTCCAAAAAAAATGTTAAAGACTTCTTTAAAAGGTTCATAAGAACCCATAAGTAAACTATGAACTTTGCATCATAGAATCTTACTCTATTAAAAGGCGCTAATAAATCCCTATGAGACTATCCACCTCAACAAAAATATTCTACCAATCAGAATATTTCGTGTGGCTACGTCAGCGAGTTATTTCAGTTTCGGTTTCTCCCGGGCTTTTTTATTATTTGGTCTCCTGTTTGTTTGTTTCTCGGCCCAGTTGGCCCAAATATTTGTCGTGACAAACCCTAATTTTGAGTATCTTTATTGTTATTCCTTCTTCTTCATCGCCGACCGATTTCTTTCTAGGTTTAGATCGTTTCATCGCCACCACCCCCATCAATCCATCTCTATGCCTCGCCGAGTCTCATGTTGATGACGGAATCGAAAAAATACTCCGAGGCATAACCAGATTTGTCGCTGCTGAATAAGCAAAGATTGATCTGCCACCGATGGGAAGATGAGCCGTAGAAGTTGGTTGTTAACGGGAACCGGGTTGAGTTCGAGTGAGGTAACGGATCATCCACTGACACCATCTTTGATAAAAGATCTGTGCTTTCGGTTAGTAGCTAGGAGAAGAAGTTGGATGGGTTTGGGTGATGCTAGAAAGAGAAGAGAGTCATTAGATCCATCAATGGTTAAGAATCATGTTCATGACATGAAACTACATGTTTCAAGAACTAGAAGTTATCCTGCTGTAAGTTTTATAGAAATGATTATATATTCAAGAACATCTTTGTGATAATTTTTTGATACTTTCTATGTTTTTTCAGGCTTCTCCTTCTCCTTCTGTGAGGAGCTGTGGAGTGATAGAGGAGAAGTCAAGTGGTAGAGCAAGAAGAAGAGATGGTGTAGTTTCACCATCTCCAAAATGGGCTAAAAGCTTAAGCTATGGAAGTGGAAGTACCAAGAGTAAGAACCTTCTTCCACTTTGAAGCAATACCCTTGAATCCTAGGATTCGATATCGAGTAAAAGAAGCTGGACAGAGACAGAGATTCTCTGGAACTCACTTCCCACCAAAAGTTGTTAACCTAGGAAAGGTATTTCTGGTCGCTTCTTGGTCAAGAAATCAGCTTGAAAGAAACTTAACTATTTAGTTTGGCAGGAGATTCTGAGACAGAGAGGTAAGGCTATTCGCGTGGCATCTCAAGCTTTGTTAGAGGCTTCAGCTGCTGAAAGATTGTTCAAATGTCTAAGGTAAGTGTTACAAGTAAATGTAACTTATCTCTCAAGTAATTTACTTACTGGAATGATAATGTTTTTAGGTCATTCTCGGAGCTTTCTGAGAAGAGAAACCAACACCATTATAATCAACAGCCACCAATAGGAGAGTTCTTGAGTTTCCAAGATAAGTTAAGCAAGAGCAGGCTAATCATTCAATCATAATCAGAGGATAGGTCTTCTTCCCATTGCTGCAGATCCTAAGCTCTTCAAGTATTTTATCTGGTAAGAAGATATTATATATGGCATTTGATTCTCTATCTGTAAGCAATAATATATATATATATATATATATATGTGTGTGTGTGTGTGTCTCTCAGCTAATATCTTTTACTCTCTGTGACCATAGAGAATGAGAAGCCAAATGAATGAACACTATTGCTTTCAAACTCCATGCAAAATGTGCCAAAAGGTGAAAGACGTACGAAAGGTAAAGTTACATTCTATCATGAAAGAATGTTTTTTTCCACCACCGTAGATTAGTGGCTAAAGAATACAGTCTGTCAATGGTCGAGCATGTTAAGACTATTGAGAACCGTTGTGGCAACTTTGGAGCCTCGAAAGATGTTAAGTTCGGTCCTCGTGGCTCCAAGGAGATTTCTTTCAATGCTAGACGCTCATCCACGTCCAAAGAAGATAGAGACGATGAGGATGGAGATGGTCAAAGAAACAAGAGGAGAGGAGTCCAGTCTCTTGGACTGAAACAAGATGTTGTTATAGGCAGTTTTAGAGGTAGAGGTTGTGGCGGTTTTAGAGGGAGAGGAGGTGGTGGTTCCCGGTGAAGAGGAGGAGGGGAACCTGGTGTTTGTTCCAGAGGGAGAGGCTGGCGATAAAAGTATATTAATTGGCTTAGCTAATATTTTTCTTTGTCGAAATTGGTTTTGATTTTTTTGGTTTGTTTGTTTGAATAAGGAGAGAAATGCCAAGAAGTTTTCAGGAGCTATTTAGAGTCCAATGGAGTCGTGATACTCACATTGACTTGAGCGCAAGTAATCGAACCCTGTTGGAAATGAAGATGCGACCCCAAGGTACGGTAAGAAAGCGTGAAGAAGTAAACCGCTATGGGCACTGCACAGACAAGCCAAACAGGGTTCTGTATTGTTAGAAATGCTTATCTCATGTATTCTACTTGAGGTTTATTCCTACACCATTCCTTGAAAACAAGTTTGGACTTTACTTTCTTCTACGCTCATTAAATCAGAGACTTTAGGTTTTTGTAGTTTTGACTCACTGCAGGTTTGATCATGATTGTCTCGCCTAAGAAGTATATTATCATCTATGGTTTCGTATAGCTTGAGAAGTAGTAGCTTGATTAGTATTAGTCGGCTGAGACACGATTCAATTTTGTTTGCAATCGTTATCTTTTTTTATTTTATTTCTTTTGTCTTTAATTATAAATTTAATTATACAATATATTATATATAGAAACATATGATTCAAAATTTTGTTTAAGATATTAGCTACGCGTAACGCGACCAAAAGATCTAGTAATATATAATGGCCCTCTTCAAAGCAAGGTCACGGAACCAAAATATATAAATGAATTAACCATTCCTCAAAAATGCATTGTTGTCAGTGATCAACAATATCTTGGGGATGTAACGAAATATCAAAGCAAACTTGTGAGGAATCCGATCAATAGAACTGGTTTTATCTTCTTCTGAATGCTTTCCAGCTGCTGCCTGAAATCACTGGAAAAGCATAACAGTGTTTTAACAATTTGGGATTGGGATAGAAATGAACGAGCAGATGCATTGGCTAAGGAAGCAAGGAGTAGAGGCTTTTCATTTTCCCATATAGATCAGACTCGGCCAGACGGAGTTTCTCCTCGGAGAATCGACTCGACTAGTCACCACTTGATCTAGTGCAAATGGGCGACCGACAAAAAAAAAAAAAAAAAAAAACAATTCAGGATTATCAACCACCATTATATAAGAAATCAGTTTTTAAAAGCCCATATAGATTTTCTCACTGAACCTTAAATGTTTTTAAAAACTCAAATGTACGTAATTTAAATCGTAGAAACTCATTTTAGATGTCAAGTGTCATTTTTCTCATGGAGAAAAAAGTTTAACTTTATTGTATTAGATGTTTATATTTGTATTATCTTCATAATATGTTATAATCTTTAGTTATTGTTATTCTTATGTTTATTTTATAACTTCTTAATTATGTTTATATATAACCGTGTACGTTATCATTTGAATTTGAAGAAATGTATTCAGTTTTTAATCCTTTGGCCTTTGTGTTTTGATTTCAACCCACATATTGTTATCTATGCATTTTATAATATTCATTTTGAGCTTTTTCAGTAACAATGTATTTCTTAAATATCATTTCAATGAACATGATTTAAAACGAAAAAAAATAAACATTTCTAACTAAAATCGGCTGTCTAATCATAATTTGAAGATTCTCAAATTGGGACATTCCCTGAATTTTAAATTCCTATATATCTCCCTTTCAGTTGAGATGATCATTATGCCTTCACCTCCTAATCGTTTTGACACTTTGATTGTTGCCGAGTCACAACCACTACAACACAATCATTTTAAAAAATGGACTATATGTACATCGCCGAAAAAGATATGCCCACCATACGGTTTCGTGTCAAGCATCACGGTCGTTTAATGATTGATTTTTTGGAAGGACTATCAAATTCCAGCTACAAGACGTGACTGATGCACATTTTTATATGAAATAAACAAACATAAATTGGAAAGAACTGAACGAGAACGCGTCTTTCTTATGACCAAAGGTGGTTTTTTATTAAATTCTTTAGACCAACTTGTTACAATAAAACGCTTCTGTTTTCTTTGAATGGATCAAACAAAAGAAAAACACATAAACAATTAATAATCAACTCTATTTTTTTGTAACTTTGTTTAAAAATAATCAACTTAACCCCACGAAAAGACCCTTTTAAACAAAACCTATTGTGTAAAAAGAAAAAGATTCAGTCAAAAAAAAAAAAAAAAAAAAGATTAAAAAAAAAACAAAACCTATTCTACAATTTTTGTTTTTGATTTTTAATGAACGAAAGACATTATCTACATCTTATGTTTTGAAAAGAGAAACTACCAATGTAAAAAGAGAAAAAGAGAAACTCAATACCGATCCCCTCCGGCTTCATTACGCCTAGGTGAATTCAATCCGTTTTTCAAAGTTAATCGGTGGTTTCGTGCGGTATGCACTGGGGACCGGTGATCACTCTTATGAACGTTGCGAGGCTTGTCGGAATTTTGAACACTTGTCTCTTTAACTTCAAGGCTTGGCTTGGTAGGAGAGGAAGAGACCGTGTAAGTAAACGTCCCAATGGGAATATCATCGCCGTAATCTTTAATGTCTTGGAGAACTGAAACAACAGTGCTGATGCATGGCCTTCTGTTTGGTCGGTAGCTTAGGCATTGGTAAGCCAAAGCCGCTGCCTTTCTTGCACCCGTCTCTGAGTACTGATCTTCAAGCCTTGGATCCATTATTCTCCCAAGTTTTCGTGGGTCGTTGAGCATTGGACGAGCCCAATCAACGAGGTTTTGTTCCCTTGACGATCTTTTTTTGTCTACCGATCTCCTACCTGTCAACAGCTCAAGTAACACTACCCCAAAGCTGTACACGTCACTCCTTGCCGTTAAATGACCTGTCATTATGTACTCTGGCGCGGCGTACCCTTGCGTGCCCATCACGCGTGTTGACACGTGCGTTTCGTCACCTTCTGGTCCGTCTTTTGCTAGTCCGAAATCAGAGAGCTTTGCTGTGTAATCCTAAAATAAATATTGAATAAAAGATCAAACCATTATTCAAATCCAACACTTAAAAGACTTTGAATAATAGTTTTCGAGGCTTGGTTGCTTACAGAATCTAACAAGATGTTGGAGGCCTTGAAATCGCGGTAGATGACGGGTTTTTCTGCTTCATGGAGAAACTGCAAACCCTTTGCAGCTCCATGAGCGATCTTCATCCTTGTTAACCATGGCAGCGATATAGAACACCCTTCCATATTTAACAATTAATTTTCATTACTTCCGATTCTAACCGAGAAATCAATCATTTGATGGTTAATTATAATGACTCAAAACTCACTTCTGAATAGTTGAGACTCTAAACTCCCACGAGGCATGAACTCATAGACAAGAAGTCTATGTTCTTCCTCGCAGCAATACCCTATCAGCTTAACCAGATTTGGGTGCTTTAACTTCCCTAGAAATATAACCTCCGTCTGAAAATATATCACCCCCTAACGTTAGAGATTCAAGACTTAAGTCTTTTGTAAAGGATGGAACAGATGAGTAGGGAAAGGAATATACGAACCAGCCATTCACGGTGACCTTGAAGGCCATCGAGATCGAGAAGTTTAACGGCGACAGGCTGAGCTTTAAGACCAGGACGTAGCTTGTCGTCGATGAACCCTTTGTGAACTGGACCGAACCCTCCTTCGCCAAGGAAGTTGCTTGAAGAGAAGCTTTGTGTTATGACTTTGAGTTCTGCCTGTGTGAAAACGTGGAGATCCGAACCAGCGAGCGAGATTGAAAGATCTTCAGATAAGGTTGAGGAACTTGGATCGCTTATGTCTAAAATTGACAATCCGAGAAATGATTTCTGTTTTGTTATGACACCATCACCATCATTTTTCTTTGCCTTTTTTGATGAACAGATGTTCTCTGGATCCAAGAAACATATAACCATTAGTGATCTCCAGGATAGTTTCTTCTTCACCGCCATTGTTTTTGGTTTCTATGTTGGTTTTTTCTAGTGGTTTTGGTTTGTAATGGGAGAAAGAGTTTTTAAAGTCTAAGGGGGAGAGACCACGACTTTCTATTGTTTCAAATTTTATATTTTAATTTAACTACTCGGTTTGTTTCTCAAGAACTTTTCTTACCAAAAAGGCAAAATAAATAATTTTAATAGTTTTTTGTAAGAGAAAGAGGGCGACGACTTCGTTCGGTGGGTTTATACCACTTTCTAAAGCTTTAACTGCGCCTGATATTATCATTTAATTCATACTTAGACAAGTTCATAGTCGTGAGTGGTTGGCTCAAAGGGAGATGAATTAACAGCTTTGCCCTTTTCCCCCGGGGGGGGGGGGGGCAGTGCATTATTCTAGTTAACCAGAGAAAGATGACAGTACATTCCCGTTAACTGGATATGAAACATAAAAGAAAACATTCTAGAAGAATAGGAGCAGTTCCTCGTCTCCCTCTAATATTTTAACTAAACAAGAATGTCAAAATCAAATGGGCAAAACTCTTAGAAATTCCGTTAGACTAAAATTATTTGGTAGAAGTGCACAATAGGAGTGAGTCAAGCTTCTAGAACACTTGATAAATTATAATACAGGATTGTGTGTTTTCAACCAAATTTTTATGCAAGCTTAGGTCATCTTTTAAAAAATATTAAGAAAAAAGTATGAAAGCGACTTGCCACCGCGTTGGCGAAGAAGGCGACTTGTTCACAATGTCCAAACCAAATTTATAACTTAAAAAATTCGCGCTGTCTCCAGATTGAGTTGACATTTTATTTGCTTGGTCCAAGTTCCAACAGCACTTACGCCCTATTTTTCATAACCAAAGAACTTCTAGAAAACTTTCAAACTACTATACTCGGGGTGATGATTGGTTCAACTGTGACTATAAATATTTAACTGTACAAATTTAGCTGTAAGTAAGTTGGTTGTAGTTGTAAAGTTGTTACAGTAGATTTTTTATAGAAATTTTTGATGTAGTTAAATTTATTGTAGCTGTAAACTGCAGCTGTAAATATTTCAAATAAAATATGTGAAATATTATTTATATAAAATAATTGTTTTGTATCAACTAATAATTTGTTTTTTAATAAATTATCAAAATTTATTGTTATTTAAAATCTGATATGTAAATAATATTTGTTATTAAAATATTTCAATAATTTAAAAAAAAAGACCCAAAACTATGCTAAATATTTATATATTTTTTTATTATGATTATCTAATTTATTTGATATTTTAGATTTTTTTATTTTACAGTTTCTACAGCATACTCCCTCCGTTTTAAAATAATGTATATTTTAGAATTTTCACATTTTTTAAGAAAACACGTAAAATTTTATAATAAATGTAGTATTTTCTGTGTTAAGCTATTTTCTATAATTTTTAACCAATCAAAAATTCAGTAAACATAATTAATATTTTTGAAACTGACAATTTGCGATTATTATCTACTTTGAAAATGTAAAACGTAGATCTTTTAGAAACAATTCTTTTTTTCTAAAACGTTGATCATTCTGAAACAAAGGGAGTATAAAACAAAGATGTAAAGATTTTGGGTTGGCTGCATATTCCCCCCCCCCCATAGACACATAAACCCTAGTTATTTCCCCCCAAACTACTAAGCTCTTTGCTAACCTACCCAAACATATATTTCTCTTCATATATCTCCCTAAACTTTTAAAATCCCCCTCTCTAATTATGTTTTCTAATCGTAATTAATGAATCAAAAATTGCGTTTAGAAAAGAGTGATTGCCCACCCGACCCAACATTTTAAAAAACCAACAAATTGAATTGGGCTTATGTTTTCTTTTATTTTTTTCACGACACAGAAACAAGAGAGGGAGAGGGAGAGTTGCCTGGAACAGAGAGAGACGACAGGAACAGAGAAGAGAGAGAGACGACGACGAGAGAGACATAAACAAAGAAGATGACCCAGAAAGAGAGAGAGACATAAACGAAGAAGATGACCCAGAAAAAGAGAGAGATACATAACTAAGAGAAAAGAATGCAGAGGAGAGAGACAATAAGGAATGAAGATGCAGAGGAGAGAGATACACTGAAGAACGATGAAGGGGCTGTTGTTTCTCCGTATGGAGAATTTTGAAGCTTGTTTAACTTAGATTTCCTATTTGTTTATGTCTGGGATTGATTTTACTTTTTTTTTACAGAGATGAAAAAGGTGGAATTGAAAGTGCTTGTCGTGGCTTTTGTTGCTCAACCTTTGATGTTTTATTACGTTTCAACTTTCAATCGTTCTTTGTTTTGTGACTCAACTTTTCTTTGTGAGATTCTATTTTCACTGAGTTGTATTTGTATGTTTTTCATCACTCTCTATCTTTAGAGCACATATATAATTAAGACAGTATGAATCATGCATCGTGTGGAAGTGTAGAAAACTAGTCAAATCCCAATATTTTTCTTGAGTTCCAAACAAGTCAAATTCATGTTTTCAACTAAAGCACAAACAACATGATAATCTCCGTTACTGAAAAGCATAAAGAACATGATAATTTATGAGCAGGATCAGTTTTATGATTTCTCTGTGGCATTTATTTTCATGTGAAGACTTGTAAGGAATGTGGTGTGGTTGTCAATCATGCCCAATGTGTAGACAACCTATAACAACGAGGATAAGGCAATACACTTGACTAGTAAAACGGAGACTTACAACAGCAAAGAAAACAAGACAAGCTAAGAATTTAGAAGCTTAAACAGTCGAGTTGTTGCTTGGCTGTGGCCATGATCATCTCAGTTACTAAACTCCTTTCCAAATAACCATATCATATCATAGCTTTCAATCATCTCGTTCCTTATATTAATTATCATAGCTTCCTTCCTCCTCCTTATAAGTCTTTCTTCTTTGTAAAAAAAAAAAAATTCAAACTCAAACTCAGACATAAACAAATATAAAGTCTAAGTTAAACAATCTTCAAATTATCCATACCTAACAACAACAGTCCCTTCATCGTTCTTCAGAGTGTCTCTCTCCTCTGTATCTTCATTCCTCACTGTCTCTCTCTCCTCTGCATTCTCTTCTCTCGATTCTCTCTCTCTCTCTTCCCGTCGTCTTTCTCTCCTCTGTTCTCGTCATCTCTCTCTTTTTTTGTTTCTAGGTCATCATCTTTGTATATGTCTCTCTCTCTCTCTCTCGTCATTTCTCTCTCTCTGTTCCCGTCGTCTCTCTCTGTTTCAGTCAATTCTCTCTCTCTGTTCCAGTGAACTCTCTCTCTCTCTCTATGTGTCGTGAAAAAAATAAAAGGAATCCTAAACCCCAAATTCAATTTGGGATTGATAATGTTTGTTGGGTTTTTTTAAACGTCGGGTTGGGTGGGCTATCACAATTTTCTAAACGCAATTTTTGATTTATTAATCACGATTAGAAAGCATAATTAGAGAGAGGGGTTTTGAAAGTTTGGAGAGATATATGAAGAGAAAAATATATGTTTGGGTGGGTTAGCAAAGAGCTTAATAGTTTAGGGGGGAATAAGTAGGGTTTATGTGTATAGGGGGGAATATACAGCCAACCCAAAGATTTTACATAAAATACGTACGGAAAATATTTTCTTTAATTTTTTTGCTATAGTATTAAAAATAAAGTTGAAGCATGATTGGTATCCTTTTGTGGATGTCCCCTTGGTCCAGTGGTTTGACTAAGGGTTCATTAATGCTTCTACACCCGGAGGTCTGGGGTTCAAACCCCAGAAAAAAACAAATTATGCAGATTATGGAGAAATAAGTTACAAGAGATCTTCAGCTTGGTGCAAGGCGTACCATCGAACATGGATCTCATAGGACGGGTCGGAGTGATGCAGTCAGGCGTGTATTCTCACAAGATGGTAGAATTGTCGGCTGTAAAATCGTCTATGTAATATTCTCATCGTTGTAATAGCATAATTAATCAGACGTTAAAAAAAAAAAGCATGATGGGTAAAAGTTAACAGAAATTTGTTGTAGACTTTAATTTTCAAAAATAAAGCTACAATATCTATATCTATCTATATTAATAAAGTACACTTATTTACCCTCTCAAGCTGTCCACGTAACCTTTTGGTGATATGGGGGTTTTTCGCCACGTGTCGAACGTGGTTGGCTATCTTTTCCCCCCGGCAAGGCTGATTTAAATGGGCTGTGTTCTTATTTTAAGTCCATTTTCATGTAATTGCTTTTTGGCCCATATGGCCCGTATGGAAAAGTAATGGTAGCTTCCCCCAGTTTCTTCCCCATCGTTTTTGTTTCCCCATCGACCTCTGCGAATTTAGAAACATAGCATGAAATTTTTGATTACCGTAACGTCTCCCATCTCCTTAAGACTGACATTTATTTCGAGTTTCCAGTTGATTTATCCACAACTCCTTCTTTAGATTCCTGTGAATGATTGTTTGTTCTATTAGTTTATGTTCTGTGATCTCTATATATTTAGTAATGTCTTATGGTTCTGTAGTGATGAGATCTGATGGATTTTTTGTGTAGATTACGACGGCTATTGCTAATTTTCTATTGAAGATGTGAAGAGAGATTTTGGATAGAATACTCCCAAGGTAAGGGAATAGTACACTTCAGACATAGCATTGTGTGTTTTATACTCAACTTGGTGGTGTGTTTTATGTGCAGAGTTGGAAAGTATACAGAGGAGGACGCATAGGCTGTTATGATACAATTGCATTTTGTCATCTCCAAGGTGTTGTACACCAAGATCTCAAATCTGAGGTGATTAAAAGACTTTCTACTTCTGCTTATACATTTGATCTTTTATCCCCATCTTATTGACGTTTACTTAAATTTGTTTGCTTAATAATTTTTTGTTTACCTCAAAAGAAGAAACCTAGATTTTGGTTGCTAGATTACAATGAGGCGAGAATCAACTTATAAAAATTGAGTTTTAGGTAAGATAAAAGTTCTTGGATATATCACTCACTCTATGAGGGATGATTAATTCAAGTTGGAAAATAAAATAGAAGCTTGAAGCTTTATACAAAC